CATATTTGGCAAGTTTATTTTTAAGCCAAGTCTGTGATTGTGATGCATTTTTGCCAAGATAAAAAAGAAAATGTTATAATGGTCAAGTGGCTAGGACCCCTCTCCAGTTCAAGTCACCAAAGCATATTTGTGACACACTTCTAGCATACCTGAGCTCACATGTTAATGGGACGATAGGATTTAACTATCACTTTAAAAAGTACTTCTTTGGGGAAGATTTGTCTGTGCCTCTTTCCCATATCTCTATAGTCCCTGGCAATCAGAAGCCCTGGGCTGGTTTCCGTGAAAACAGCCCCACACAGCTCCATTTGTGAGACAAGGATGGGGATGTCTGATCAGCCAGACTTGGGGAGAAGTGAAAAACTGGGATTCTGGTGGCTCCCTCAGGGTGGCAGAGACAGAAGTTTAAAGTTTCATTCCCCAATCCATGGCAGAAATTTCAGAGGGAAGGGTCCACTGGGGCAATAACAGTAGCTATTAGAATACACTGATAATTTGTAATTCGAGTGTTCACAAGTGGGAGAGACTTACCCACAGAAGACAAGATTTTCCAGGCTCTCATCAGTGGGTATTCACTTCAAGGATGGAAATAAGTGCAATGAAATGCTAATGTCACAACATAATTTAAACTATCCCTTGGTGCTTATGTGACTGGCTGTGTTTTTAGTGTTCTTTATAGATATTTACTCTCTTGTAATTCATCACCATTGGAACTGTCCACACCAAATTCACAACCTCATAATGCACTCCCATCAGCCAACTCACAGACAGAGGTTGTGCCATTAAAAAAGCTTCAATGTGACATAAACCCACCACAGACTGGAAGCACACATATATGTAAGCGTATGTGTTAAAGGAGGCAGCTATTCAAAATACCACCACCTAACCCAAGATATGGTCCCTCCAGCGGGGATCCCAGGCCCTGGACTAGGAATACAGATAGGAGAACATACTTAGGAAATGAAGTCTGATGGACCCAAGTTCAGATTCTGAGGTCACCTCCCAGTCATGTGATCTGAGGTAAGTTAACTTCACCAAGGCTATTTCCTCCTAAGTAAAAATAAGAAGCTAATACCTACTTCACAAGTTATTGTGAGAACTGCATGAAATGATACCTGTAATTGGGGGGGTGTGGGGAGGAAGTAGAGTGTCTAGACCCTACCATCTATAGAAAAAACATGTCAGTTCAACGCCCCTTCATCCAAGTTCCAGTGCAACTTGGCCATTCATTATCTGAGTGGCCCTGAGTAATTCATTTAATCTCTCCAGCCTCAGCTTCCCCTTCTATCAAATTCAGAGGTGGGACCTCCAAAGCCTCTTACCATCCTAACCAACATTATGTATGATTATTATAATTATTTAGAGGGAGCCTTGTTCTCAGTCCCTATTCTTGCATCTTTTGATGCTCTCTCTTACACTCTAAATCTCTCTTTAAATCTACAGTTCCATAACTTTCTAGTTCCTGCCTTTTGGATTCTATGACGCTAGCTCTGTCATCTCCCTCCACACTATTTGTCGACAGTCATCTAGGCCAGGGACTGTGTTAAGAATGATACAAGCTTTATCACAGAGTATATCCTCACAATAATCGTGGAGTATATTATTTTTTTTACTACTACTACTACTACTACTAATACTACGCCCATTTTGCAAATGAAGAAATCAAGGCTCAAGATATTAAACAATTTATCAAAGTATGAAATTTAAAGTTGCTCTTCTCAGCTGCTCCTAACTGTTACATTCTACACTATCTTTCTATCCTCTGACTGTATCTAGTTGAAGTTCTCTCTTCTTATGACTCTGTGCAGTACAAGCTTATCTCATAAATTACTTTGTATTAATAACTTTATGTGCTATACCTGCCAGGTGACAGATGTCCAAAGTAACCGGGACCTATCATCTCTGAACCAACAGGGAACTCATGATGGGATTCTCAGGCCTTGCAGCTGGAAGGTCAGGGTGAGATTCAAGGCAGACGGGGCTTAAATATATCTTTTGAGTAACAGCACCTGGTCAGATAGCTACTTAACTTCCACATGAAATTGCCAGAAGGCAGTTCAAGCCTAAACTATGGGAGCTTCCCAGCTGCCATAAGCCCACTCATAATATCACAGAATAGTGAAAGAAAAGCACTCACACTTTGGGGTAATACAATCCCAGGTTTACCAGTCAAGTGCACTTGGGTGGATTAGCCTTTCTGAGCTCCCTGTCCACTAAATGAGCTTGGGTAAGGTAACCCAATTGAGCTTCAGGTTCCTCATTCATAAAATGCTGATAATATGAGCAACCTTAGAGGGATACCCTAGGGACCCTGCTGGGAGAGTCAAGGAGCTTGGGAGGATGATTTAAGCTGTTTGAAATCAGGGCGGTCTAGACTAGGGTAGAAAGAAGGAAATCAGAAGATCATTGAACTCTAAGCGCCTGCCAAACTCACGCAAGTGGGAAGTGGATGCCCTGTGATGGCAAGAGCCCCAGACTGATCTGACCCTTGACTCCACTCCGCTCTGCGAGGCAGCTGTTGTTGGAAGCACTTTTTTCAGGTGAGAGGTTCCCCAGTGATCCAAGAGTGTAATCATATACCATCTCTCGCCCTCTGAGCACCATGAGGCTGCGGGGTAACTGAGCTATTCTGAGCCTTCCCCAATTTCCCTATCCATATTCCATGGGCTCTCTTCTGAGCCCCCTGCTCAGAACTCTTCCTCCTACCTCAGAATATCAGAAGGGAAATAGAAATAGAAGAAACTGACTACGTGCCTGGCACTTAGCATTTTATTTCCTTATCATTGTATTTCCTTAGTTACGGCACATTTCCATTTATGGAGTAATTCTTTTCATAAAATCTCCCAGTGTTTACCTCTAACCTACTAAATAATTCCTCTGACCTCTTCCTGTTTTTACTCTTTAAATATCTGTTGATGGTTCATTCACCACATTCCCCATTCAGTTATTAATGGCCCACAAAAACTTACTAGCAGCAATCATTTACTGATTAATCTGCACAACGATCCAGAAAGACAGGTAGTATTAATCCTCAGTTCTGCAAAGGGAAACCAAGGGGAAAAAAGAGGTTAACTTAGCTGCCCAAGGTCAGCAGCTAAACAAGATTATAACCAGGATCTATTCTGTCTTGTATTTCTGTGAACACTTCCCACAGTGTTATTCCCTTTACAAATCAACATTATCAATGCTAGATGATTTTTGTGTTGCGATTCAGTTGTTACAAAACTTTGAAGTGCCAAAATTCAACCCAAAATAGTTTTGCCTGCTAACAGTTCATAAATAAAAGTGGCTAAAATGAAGAGATAATAGTACTTAAAAGTTAATTTTAGAGTCAAGATTAGTGAAAAAATGTGGATTATAGACCTAGCTCTGCCATAAGGAGATGCTGAGAAAATCACTTAACTTTCCTGCATCTCTGAGTCATCTGTGAAAATGAGATTATGCTGAATGATATTTAACATATCTTGCTGTTTTGAATGAGATGGCTGAATACCTACTAAAACAGCGCAAAATATAAAGCTCCAATATCCATGCTGCCAAGATCGTGGTAAAATCCGTATATTCATTCACTGTAAATGAAGTACAGAGCTACAACCCCCTTGGAAAGAAAGATGCCAGCAGATAAGAAGAATCATAAAGAATTTCATATCCTTTGACTTAGTAATTTAATTCACAGTATATTTTACCCTATGGAAGCAAAAAGACATATACAAACAAAAATGCACATTTCAGTGCTAGCCATCAGAGGAAAAATGACCAATTTAAATGTTCACTTTAGAGGGACATCTTATTAAGTAAAAGCATAGAACAATATGAATGTCATGTTGCTATTAAAAAGGATAAATATAAAAATTATGCAAAATCATTTAAAATCTTACCCATATTATTAAATGAAAATAACCAAAAGTAAAAGAGTAGATATGTACTCTGATGTCAACTATATAAAATGTGGATGGATGTGCAAGATCACAGGAAAACTCAAAATAGTTATGTAATTAGTTAGGCTTACTGATTTTTTAAAAAATCATGTTTTTAGTGAATATTATTTTTCCATTAACACCTCCATTTGATCAATTATTTAAAAATTTCTTGAATGCTGATTTAAAGATTCTGCCTAAATTGCCTGAGTAGTTTTTATTGGCTGACATATTACTCAGGACATTATTCTTCTGGAGTGATTTCTGCTCTCTGCTACACAATTCTTTAGTATCTTTAGAGAGTCTAAAATCTCGAAAACTTTGCACTTCTTTTCCTCACCTAAGAGGGTTCTTAAAAAGATCTGTCGTCTAACCTAGCTATGAACAACTCCATGATTGCCTTCTAATGCTAATGTTTGGCAAAGTCTGACCCAGGAGTGAAGATTTTTCGGATAACCCTGACCTACCGGTGTCTCTACAGTAATCACAGAGTTGCCATGATACTTTTCATGGTGTACAGGATGATTTCAAATTCCAAGTTTTAAGAGCTTTACAAAAGGATAGCTTATATTTTCAGGGGTCTTAGGACACTCTTCCTTCTGGTTTCCTTAGAAAAGCTGCTCTCAAGCTGCACTATGCTAGGACCTGCCTTTCACAGTAGGACTTTTACATGCTCTTCATTTCTTAGAAATGTTCTCTTACTAGTAGGTCATTTGTTCATCTTTGCTCATAATATCTGGGAAAGACTGCAGAGCCAATGAATTAAAAATATGATTCTAGGTCTCATGTGTGGCAACGAATGCCCTCATTAAAGCAGAATGAGTGAGATGAGATGAGTTTCAAAGCTTTCCATCCCTTTGCCCCAGAGCCACCGAGGCCAGGCAGTGAGAGGATGCACAGTAAAATTAAATATCTAAAAATTCATCTTTAATTAACAGAATTGGATTAAAGCTAGACACCACCGCATATCATACGAGAAATGGCTGAGCTGGCTTCCAAGTGCTCTAATTCAATTAGGACGCAGTGAGTGACACTCGGACGGGAAAGGTTAATTGGGGGCGCCAGAACGCAATCATTCCTTACCTAACCAGTCATTAAACTTCTTAACCTCTGAGGGCAGTCCCAGCTCGGTGAAATCGCCTGTGTGGAGAAGGATGTCCCCATAAGGCATCTGGATACCATCTGTTCTGGAGTGTGTGTCTGAGATGCAGACAAACCGCGTGTGGCCCGCTGGTTTTGGAGTGTCATATGGGATGGGGTCGACCCTAAAGTAGACATAACAGATCCCATAACAGTTAAATATATTAGAACCCTCGTAATTGTCGTTGCACATACATATCGATTGTTATCCATGAATGCTCCCAGACAAACTGATGCAAAGGCAGAAGGGACACTTTTGGGTACAGAGGAGACTGCATTACCCATCCATAACCCCAGTGGGCAAATTCAAAAGCCTTACTTACCTGGTATGAAAATTAAAAAGAATGTTGTACATGCAGGGTCGGAAATAACACAGGAAGCTGATGGAGTGATTAATGGTGAAGTTTAGGGATACTGAACCCCAACTGGGGAAGCAAAATTATGCTATTTTTTCTCTCATCATGCTCCAATTGATCCCACTACTCATTAGGAAATGAATAACTAATTTATTCCTTCTTAAACATGCATAAGTTAAGCAATGAACTAATTTACAGAGAACACTGCACATGATTTGCCAACTGAGATGTAGAGAGACGTAGATAGTACTAATATTTAATATCCTTTCCAGACCCATTCAGCACCCGTATCTTCTTGGTTTTGCTGAGAGTTTCAAATTGTAAGAAGGAAAGGTGATGCCAAAATAACGGAGCTTTTAAAAAAATCACTGGGTGTTAATAAAAAAAAAAAAAAACTTTGTCAAGCTCCTTCTTTACCTCAATGAATTATCTGCAGTCCCAGTACACCTTAGGTTACTTGGAATGCCTGGGGCAAACATTCTATTCAGTACAAACAGTAAGCCTTTTAATGGGTGTCTATATATCTACATATGCATTAATATATGTATAGTTTTAGAGACCTAAGCACTGTGAAATTACACCAGGGCATAAGTATCAAAAGGCAAAATGATCAACCCTAAGCAAAGAAAATGAAACAGAACATTCTCATTTAATTGAGTGTAACAAAGTGTGCTAAATAAACTTGGTAAAGAAATGCAAATCTGACTCTTCAAGCATACAGTTTTAATTATTTAAGGGGTTGGTAGCATAGTTAAGGATGCTTTAACTATATTAACTCTATACTGACAGCTTCCTTTAATTTCTCTGTAGAAATGCATTTATTTTAGATTATGGGTGAAAAGGAGCAGTTATAAATGCAAAGAGAAGGTCACAAGAAAAGCAAACATGTAATGTGGAGATTACAGTGTAGAACATTTAACAAGGAACAATATTTCATATCATAGTTCCACCTTTGACAGTTATGCAACAGAGAACACACCAAAAGCTCAACACAAGATTCCCTATATATCTTGTCTCTATAGGCTTTGCTTAATTTTTCTTTCCTTTTCCCACTTTTTTAAAAGAAACAATCTATTTTAACAATGGCAACTGTTGTGAGGAAAATTAATACATCAGTATATAACCTGGCTAATCTTGCATTTCTTTCTTGGTTAATCTTTTAATTTTATTTTTATCTTTTACAGAGAAGAAGGAAAGGAAGGAAGAAGAAAGAAGAGCTAAAAGAGAGAAAAGAGGATGGAGGAATGAAGTGGTTAACACAGTGGGTCTAACTGGAAACCCAAAAGGAAAGTTTACCTTCTGCAAAAAGTTAATGGATTTTTCCTGTAAAGGTTAGTAATTAATAGTGCTGTTACCATGGAGAAAATTCACTAATCCACTGAGATTTCATGAGTAACCTGGAAACCCTCCTGATTATATCCAATGTTGATTTATTTTTTAATATGTGAAAAAGTTTAGTATCTTCCTTTCCATTTCTGAGACTCTATTACAATCAGTGTAAGTGGTTCTAATCTTATCAATTTCTCTTGTCTTTTAAACGTAGTTTTCCCAGAGGAAGAATGCTCATCCCCTCTGCAGCAGACTGCGTCATCCACTGAGAGTGATAATATTCTATTCCTAAAGTTAAAATGCTCTCTAGAATGGGACTATGCAAATTTATACTTGGTCTACCAACATCTGAATGAAAATTAAATAAATTAACCACTGAAATTTAAATATGTGAATACATTCAGTATTATTATTATCTATATGTGTATATACACATACCTTCATTTTCCAGTTCTCATCCTAATAATCATGTATAGACACAGCCATTTCTTCCTTTCTGTAACTGAGCTAAGCTACTACATGAAAATCTTTTAGGAGTCCATCCAAATTTATCAGAGGGACATCATAGTCATAAGTTTGAATTTATGAAACATAAAGCAGCACAGATATAAACCCCTATTCAATGAATCTACTCAACTTAAGTAAATCATCACATGGCACATAATTTATTTCCCATCTTGGCTCCATACTGGGCAATAACTTTCTAAGACTATTGGAATGCCAGTCAGCTTTTGAATGGCTGCAACTTCCCTACTCTACCACCTCTTCCAGAAAAAAACATTTAAATATCCAATAGTTAATGTGACATTAAGGCCACGAAATAGAAAAATAGAGGGGACCGGAAGTAAGAAGAAAATGTATCTGTTTAGCTTTGAGCCAAAATAAAATGATTCAGAAATACACAGAAACAATGGCAGAGAAGGCTCACGCAATAACACCACCAACTTGATGTCATCAAAGAGAAACAATTCGTAGGCATTTGGCAGAGATATGGAGGACTGATTCAAGGTAGAGGACTGGGGAAGAGGGAAACGCAAATGCAGAAATTATATACATCGCCTGACCCACAGACACTGGTGTCCTTTGTTATCCACAGGACTAAGCACAAGAAGATATGACTGAGCAACAAGTCAGAGCCATGCTGCAGGGTAACATGACAAATAACATCTGGGGGTCACAGGAAGAAGACATTTCCACCCAAAGGCATTCAGAGTTGAAAATAAGACATCTAGTAGAATAGGCAAGTTGCAGTGGATATAATCAAAGTTAAGACAACTCTAGGGGAACCACTATTCCCAAACTGGGCATTTGGTGAACACTTTGCAAAGTCAAAACAAACATTTTCACTATAAAAGCATATTTAAGGGAGACCCTGACAACAACTGGAAGATCTCCCTCTTCACATGGTATGAAGACCCTCACGCTCCATTTTCCCTCTTAGTTAACAAATTTAATGCTCATCCTTGATGCTGCTGACTTCTCAAATGACCTAACATTCCCCCCAAGGCATCATGTTAAATTTCCTAGCAAGTGAGTCTCTTACCAAAGCAATCTAACCCCCAGAGCCAGATTCAAATATCAGAGCAAGATTTGCACGTACATCAGAGTACACCCAGGGGAAAACAAGATGACATGGGAAGATGAGAGGAAGACACAGCATAAAATCATAAAATCCCAGAGCTGGACGAAACCTTAGGGGGCATCGAGTTCACTGCTTTATATAAAGCTTGAATCCCCTCTACCCCTTTCCTGTCTACCAGACATAAATTTTCTTTCCAAGATTTCCAGAGAAAGGGAGCTTTTGAGCCCCCTCCCTTCCACATTTGGGCAGCCCATTTGGGTTTTTCATAGCTCTACTTGCTGGAAACTTTCTGATCCAGAGTCTGCACCTCTGAGAAAGCTGAGCATGGGCCAAAGAGAGTTGGCCTGGAGCCTGAAAACTGAGTAACAATTTTGGCTGAGTTATTCACTTCGGATGAGTTATTCATTCGTATGGTCTTCATTTTTTTTTCTCATTTGTAAAATGGGAATAATAACGCCTAATCTGCTAAGTTGTTATGAGGATATAAATTGTCAAGTATTGGGTCTGACACATGGCACATGCTCAGAAAGTAGAGATGCAGAATGACATAAGGGTAAAGCATGTTTAGCTATACAGCCAGACTCTCTGGTCCTGAATCTCACACCATATTTATTAACAGTGTGACACCCAGCAAGGTACTTAACTTCTATGCCTTGGTTTCCTCATCTGTCAAATGGATATAAAAAATAGTACCTAACTCATAGGATTGTTGTGAAGATGAAAAGGAATAATGTGCTCAAAGCATGTACCACAGTAGACACTTGACAAGTGTTTTTTTTTTTTTTTTCACAAATTAGTAGTATTTTTACTACTATTAGTAGCAGTAGTATTAGTAGTGGTATCCTTTAAGTTCTCTAACCTTCATCTGTCCTTCTGTTACAAGGACATTAATTATAACTACCACACAGGGATGTTATGAGAATTCAAAGAGATTACAGACACAATATCTGGCACAGAACTGGGCACAGAGAGCATAGTCAATAAATACATTTCCTTCCTTCCTGTGATGACCTTTGTAATCCCAGTTCTGTACTCCAAAAATGAAAAGAATAAGAATCCAGTATCTTTTCCATTGGACAGCTCTTCAAATATTGGAGGACATATATTATAAGCCCCTATAATCTTCTCTTTTCAAATTGAGGAACCATAGCTTCTTCAGTCTTCATTGTGTAATAGGGTTTCTAGTGCCCTCAGAATCCTGGTGATCTCCTAGGTACAATCCGGCTGCTGTGATCCCCTCCACTTGCAGTGTCAGAGTTTATGGGCCATGTGAATTCATGGACCAGTCAGTTGTGAAAGACAAACGCCAGCACAGGCGGCAGAAAGCCGACGGTGCGGGACACCCAGGCTGACGTGCCTCGACGTCTGCACTTTCATCGTAAACCATTTTCTGACTAGATCTCCAGGTTTTGTGCCAAGTCTCAAATCTTGTTCTTGAAACTTGATTCTCAAATGTTTACATATCTCGCTGCATATTCAAACAAGTAAACCATTCCTATTTATTCAATCTTGGCACATTAGCATTCTTTGCCCATAAAAAAAAATATTATAATATTATTACTTCCACTATGGAATCCTCTTCTGGCCATATGTGTGATTTTTTACAATAACAAATTCATACAGCATTGCAAGTTCCATTGATAGATCTTCAGAAAAGCTGTTCTCATGTGGTTTCTTATGACATGGATTTCTTTTTTAGGCCACATGTGCAGTAAAAGCCTTATGTGCATAATTAACCTATAATTCAGTGTCAGAATAGAGTATAACCCTTACAAAGTATTTTAATGGGATCTGAATGTATTTACCATCCACTTTCCACTTGAAAATAGTGACGTTATGATTATGCATTCCACTGACT